CAGGAAATAAAGAGCTAATTCCAAGGTTTTATTCAGAAAAGGAAAGTGGAGTTGAATTACCAATATACACCAACACTGATAAAACATGACATCAAATACGCACACATGTAGGCATAAAGGGTTTGTGGGGAGGGTGTATCTCAATTGCAGCGTCATCCAGTGGTTCCCAGCATTACAGATATCCGTCTTCAGCAATGTGATTCACTCTATATCATGTCAAGAAACGGTTGGAGGCGCTGGACGCTGCAAAGGTAATGGGCCCTGACAACATTCCAGCTATAGTACTGAAGACTTGTGCTCCAGAGCTTGCTGCTTCTCCAGCCAAGCTCTTCTCGTCCAGTTACAACACCGCTATCTACCCGACCATGTGGGAAAGTGCCCAGATATGTCCTGTACATAAAAGGCGGGAGAAATCCAAACAGCCATCAGTCTACTCATGATCATCAGTAAAGTGATGGAAGGTGTCATCAACAGTGCTATTAAGAAGCACCTACTCAGCAATAACTGGCTCAGTGACACCCAATTTGGGTTCTGCCAGGGCCACTCAGCTCCTGACCTCATTACAGGCTTGGTTCAAACTTGGACAGAAAAGCTAAATTCCAGAGGTAAGGTGAGAGTAACAGCCCTTGACACTAAGGCTGCATTCGATCGAGTGTGGCATCAAGAAGCCCTAATGAAACTGGAATCAACGAGTATTGGGGCAAACTCTCCATTGGTCAGAGGCATAGCAGGCACATAGGAAGTGGTTGTGGTTGTTGAAGGTCAGCCATCTCAACTCCAGGACATCTCTGCAGGAGTTTTTCAGAGTAGTGTTCTAGGCTCAACCAACTTCGCCTGCTTTATCAATAACCCTCCCTTCATCATAAGTGGGTCAGAAGTGGGAATGTTTGCTGATGAATGCATAATGTTCAGCACCATTCATGACTCCTCAGATACTGAGGCAGTCCACGTTCAAATGCAAAAGGATCTGGACAAAATCCAGGCTTGGGCTGACAAGTGGCAAATAACTTTCGTGCAACACAAATGCCAGTCTATGACCATCACAAATAAGAGACAATCTAACCACCGTCTCTTGACATTCAATGGTGTTATCATCACTGAATCCCCCACTATCAACATTCTTAGGATTACCATTGACCAGAAACACAATTGGGCACACCACTTAAACACAGTGGCTACAAGAGCAGGCCAGAGGCAAGAAATACCGCACCAATTAACTCACCTCCTGACTCTCCAAAACCTGTCCAGAATCTATAAAGCACAAGTCAGGAGTGTGATGGAATATTCCCCACTTGCCTGGATGGGTGCAGACCCAACAACAATCAAGAAGCTCAACACCATCCAAGACAAATCAGCCCCCACTTGATTGGCGTCACATCCACAAATATCCAGTCCCTCTACTACCTAAGCTCAGCAACAGGAGTGTGTACTGTCTACAAGATGCACTGCAGAAATTCTCCAAAGATCCTTAGAAAGCACCTTCCAAACCCATGACCACTTAATCTAGAAGGACAAGAACAGCCGATACATAGTAACACCACTACCTGCAAGTTCCCCTCCAAGCCACTCAGCATCCTGACTTGGAAATATATTGCCATTCCTTCACTATTTCTTGGTCAAAATCCTAGAATTCCCTCCCTAAGGGCATTGTGGGTCAACCCACAGCAGGTGGACTGCACCAGTTCAAGAAGACAGCTCACCACCACCTTCTCAAGAGCAACTAGGGATGGGTCATGAATGCTGGCCCAGCCAGAGACACATACATCCCATGAATAAATAAATAAATAATACAACAATGAAGGTAATGGCAAATCTAGTTCCAGAACTTAATATTCCCTTAGGTTGCAATATAGAAAAGACTTGAGTGAAGCGGCTGTTGTCCTGTTTCTTTAGCCATGGTAAAGTTCACACATCTTGAGTTCTGAGAGATTTTTCCAAGTTGTTTTATCAGTGGTGCTGGTTTCTATGATTGAGACAAAGAGAGGCAAGAGCTTGCAGTGTCTTTGCTGTTATTAGTCCATGTTGTTTTCTTTCCCTGAAAGGCTGCTGTTGTTACATCCTTCTCTTGTGGATTCCAATGTTTGTGCCATTGTTTTGTTCTAAGCTGGATAGTCTCCAAATATGTAAACTTTTCATGCAAGTGAGAGTGAAACAAGAAATAATAATGAGAGACAACAAAGTGCAGGGCTGGATGAACACAGCAGGCCAAGCAGCATCATAGGAGCAGAGAGGCTGACGTTTCGGGCCTAGACCCTTCATCAGAAAAGGGGGAGGGGAAGGGGGTTTTGAAATAAATAGGGAGAGAGTGGGAGGCGGATAGAAGAGGGATAGAGGAGAGGAGCAGTTTCAGGGCCGAAGAGATTACGAGAGAGTTGCAGTGGGAGAGAGATCCCTTGAGGTTTGTCCGGAGGGAGGAGGGTAACTTCTTCAGGTTAGGCATCCTTAGAAGAGGCTTCGCAGTGGGGTTAAAATTGAATCAGAGATAGTAGGAACTATAATGTTTTGATAGTTCACGGAGTGTCAGTGCCTCTTGATGAAAATCATAATTCTAATGTCCCCCATTTCAAATATAACACATCAGTTAGCTTGGTTTGTTAGGTGATGACAGCAGCCTTTTTAAATCAGCAGTGTCCTTTTTAAAAACCATATTTCATCCATTAAAGTGTCACGTATGAAAGCCAAATGATGGAAGTTGAATATTAATCGTTCATTTTCTGTAATTACAATTGGAAATTGGTTGGTCAGCTACTGGTAAACATCATATTATTGGTAATAATTAAGTTGAAATGGCATCATCAATCACAGAAAAGCTGTGTTTTAGCTGCAGTGAGATTGGATTCCTGCCAACAATTTGGCCAAATCTTTTGGTAAAAAGAAAAGAAACCTTTGAGGAATATCATTAGGCATTCATCAGTGTTTTGTTTAGTGATTACACTCGTCTCCCAGCCTTTTTTGCATTTATTTATGAATCTATTCGATCCACAAACACATCTCCAAACCCCCAGATCCCCCTGCTACATTAATTCTCAGTAATTTGTTCCATGACCATATTATCCTTAGGTAAATGTGTTTGCTCCATTTTGCTTCTTTCTCTTATATTACAAATGTTTAGTCCCTACCATCCTGAACACTTTGTCATTTATCCCCATGATCTTAAATCTTCATATCAATCTTTATTGGTCAGTCTGACCAATGTTTTGTGAAGTTAATTACCATCTGTTTGACTTTACATCTTGACTAATGCTAACCCAGTTTCTTGCCCACCTTTATAATTGTGTTGATGACTTCATAAATTTATCTGATCTAAATAAAAGCGAGTTTCTGATATTGGCCAACAATGACACCTACAAAAAGAACAAAAATGAGGTTGAGCCTCATGCAAAATACCAATTTTGATGCTGCATTCCAAGCCTGCCATGTACAACAATACAATTTATTCTGCTATGTTCAGATTTTGAATTAACATATATTGACTCTGGGGAACAATGTCAGCTAAAGCAGAAACTTAAGTTCCCAATATTTAGACATCTTGTGTGTTCACTTACGGTAAAAAACCCTAAACTTGGCTCAAAAGATGGTTTAACAAAAGTAAGCAATAATCAGGAAAGACCAAAATCAAAGCTATTCTCAGCTGGCATGATGATAGTAGTCTCCAATTATCCTCTGTTCTTGTTTTGGAAGAGGAAAGTCAGCCTTGTTTCCTGTCCCTCTTTACTATCCTGTTGTCCATGCTACAAGTATGCAGGCATGGATATCAGGCAAGAATAAGATCTGAGCCTACTGAGAAAGTCTTCACGTTCTTTAGGTGTATCAGCAGTCAAGATTTTGCTGTGTATCGTGGAGACGTCTAACATGAGAAAATCACTGAGAAGAATCAAGTAACAATTCTATGGATGAGGACAAGTGCTACGATACTGAAGAATTTGGATACCAAACACAATACAGCCAATCATTTGATTGGTTGCATCTTCACTGGACTCTCCACCACTAAGAAACAGTGGATGTGAAATATATCATCTACAAGGTACACTGCAGCATCTCACAAAACTGACTTCTGCTGCACTATCCCGCACCATGACCTCAAATACTTTAAAGGACAACAGCAAAATTATGGGGATATCATACCTTTCATAGACTAGCAAGTCATAGACTATTCTAATATGCACTTATACTGCCATTACTTTATTGTTGTTGTTGGATCAAAATCCTGAAATTGTGAATTGAACACAATTGTGGGAACGCCATCTCCACACGAACTGCAGTGGGTTAATGCAAAGCGTCACTGCTGCTTTCTCAGGCCAATTAGATGAGTACACGATGTCCTACTCATATAAACGTACACACACACATTTTAGATTTTACTGATAACTTCATGGTGGAGAGCATGTTACTTAATCCATGAAATACTTGAAAAGAAATATATGAATCCTCCTGGTCAACAATTGGAAAGATGTTCATTTTCAAGGTGAGAGGAAAAAGAATTAAAAAAGACAAGGGGGCAAATTTTTTACACATAGGGTCGTTCGTGTTTGGAATGAATTTTCTCATGAAGTGGCGGATGTGGGTACAATTACAACATATAAAAGACATTTGGATAAGTACATGAAAAGGAAAGGTTTGGAGGGACATGGGCCAGCAGCAGGTAGATGTGACTAGTTAAGTTTGGGATTATGTTTGGCATGGACTGGTTGGACCGAGGGGTCTGTTTCCTTGCTGTATGACTCTATGACTATGACTCAGATGGGATAAAAAATTAATGACAAAATCAAAACAGTCTATAAAACATTAAATGATGTTAAATATAATTAAAAAGGTGTTCGGCCACAGTTTTCAATAAATTCACTGAGTAATAATCTTCCCAAACTTTCCAGAACTGCTGGTCCTTTTGAAGATATGTTTTTCACAAAGAAAGTGATTGTATCTCAGTTACTACCCTTTAAACAAAAAAAAGAGTTGAATTATTGAAAAAGATGCTTCTGCATGGAGATCACAAAACATACCTTGATAGACAAAATGAAAGCCTTTAGCTGTTGCGTGACTCTTGGCACTGAACTTCATTAAAACTTGATTGGAAGTGGCCAAAGGCAAAGATTCCCCTGTGGTAAAAGAGGAAAGAATTTAAACAGGACAAAGATCAACACAGTGGGAAACACAAGTGAGTGACTCAAACCAACAAGTAGCAAGCAATGAACAGAAAAGCTTTCCACTTCCCTGCAGTTTCAACGTGTTTTTGTGAACATTTTCTGAGGGAGTCAGTAAAGGCCAATTGGGGAAAAAAGATTCTAATACCCAACTGGTCTGGAATTTTACTTTTACGTATACAAATCGACAATATATTGTACAAAATAAAGCCAATAAATCTCAATCATACTTCTATTTTCATCCCCCAAATCACAGATCCACTTGTTCATCAAAACAAGTCAAGCAATACAGATGGAAAACCATAAGCAAAATGCAACCTATATTTCTCACTGAAGATCTTTTCTACTTCCCACCATCAGTTTTGAGCATCCACATTCAATGAGGGATTAGGATCATTTGGCCTTTGCAAAATTATATCTGTCAGCTGCCAGTTAGGATTGTATCATAGAAACTGAGTTTGATATTCAGGAGACAATGAACACATTCTTCTGCCAACACCATTGTGGAACAGACAATAGACATCCTGAAAATGAGGTTCTGAAGCTTGGAATAGTCTGAAGGGTCCTTGGAATATGGTTCAGGTAGTCTATGCCGCATAATTTTAGCAGAGGAAGCATTGATGGTGATTTTTCAGGAATCACCGGAGTTAGGAAGGCTCCCAGAGGCCTAGAAAATGGCTAACAGGCCTGTTTAAGCAGTGAAGGAGGCAAAAGGCAAGAAGCTGTAAAATAGCGCTGAGTTGGCACAGCTTTGTCAAGGGGAGGTCGTGCCTAAGAAATTTGTTAGAAATTTTTAAGGAGGTAATGAACAAGTGAGACAAAGGAGAGCCAATGGATGTGATTTATTTGAATTTCCGGAAGGATGCTGCTCGATAACATGAGATCATGGTGTTAGGGGCAAGATACTGGCATGGAAAAAAGATTGACTGACTGGCAGAAGGCAGGGAGTAGGGATGAAGGGTTCTTTTTTCAGGATGGCAGCAGGTGATGAGGGGAGTTTCGCGGGGGTCAGTGTTGGGACCATAACTATTCATGTCATACATCAACAATCTGTATGAAAGAAGAGGGCATTGTTTCTAAGTTAGCAGATGACACAAAGATAGTCGGAGGGACAAGTAGTGTTGAGGAAGCAGGGAGGCTGCAGGACTAGGAGAGTGGACAAAGAAGTGGCACATGGAATATAATGTGGGAAAGTATGAAGTTATACACTTTGGTAGAAGAATAGAGGCATAGACCATTTTTTGAATGGGGAAAGGCTTCAGTGACCTGAAGCATAAAGGGACTTAGGAATCCCAGTTCAATGTTCTCTTAAGGTTGCTGGCTCAGTTGGCTGTTGGGAAGGCAATGTCAGCATTTATTTCAAGTGGGCTAGAAAGCAAGAGCAGAGATGTACTGCTCAAGTTAAATAAGGCTCTGGTCAGACCATATTTGGAATATTGTGAGCAGTTTTAGGCTCGATCTAAGGAAGGATTTGCTGGTTTGGAGACGGTGCAGAGGAGGTTTACAGGAATGATCCTGAGGATGAAGGGCTTGTCATAAGAAGTGCGGTTGAGGACTCTGGGTTTGTACTCGGTGGAGTTTAGATGGATGAGGGTGGATCCAATTGAAACGTGGAAGTGGAGAAGATATTTACTGTAGTAAGAGAGCCAAGGACCTGAGTTCACAGCCTCAGAGTGAAGGGGCTACGACCCTTTAGAACTGAGATGATAAGAGTTTCTTAAGCTAGAGTGTGGTTAATCTGTGGAAGTCATTGCTGCAAGAGGCTGTGGAGGCCATGTCATTGAGTGTATTTAAGACCGATATGGATTAGGTCTTGATTGGTAAGAGGATCAAGGCTTAAGGGGAGAAGGCAGAGAGCGGGGTTGAGAAACATGTCAGCCATGATCGAATGGCAAAACAGACTCAATGAGCAGAATGACCTAATTCTGCTTCTGGTCTTATGGTAGCATGTTGTGCTTTGCATAACTGGAGAAGGCCAAGTGGGGATGTGACTGATGAAGAGGTGGCTAAGCAGCGGCGATCTTCTAAGGAGGAAGTTGAAGACTACAGATGGAATATCGCCTTCTTGGTGTGGTTTCAAACACAAGCTAGACAGGACTTTATTGGCACGTGCTTTCAATAGATTGAGTTGGGTAAATCAGTTGTTGCTCAAAAGGTAAGCAGCCCCTGATTAGTTCCGGAAGCAAATGCAGCTTTTTAATTTGTTCATTCTTCACTTTTCCTGCTGTCTAATAAAAGTCAACTTTAACTGTTTGAGAGCTTCACAACCCACAACTTTCCCACCATCAACAATGCCTAGATGTTATGTATGACAGACACTAGAGAAACAATAACAGCGTTAAGGACAAGTAATTGCTGTAGCTTCATTCTTGTAGTTGCAACTACAATTACAGTTAATTAGACAGATGAGGCTTTAAAGTTCTAATATATTTACAAACACAATATTCTATTTCCAATGACGTGTCACCTGTGTGTCCTCAGAAGCTTTCCTTTTAAATTTCCCTCCCATCATGTCCACTGTGAACAGCTGGTGCATAGCTGGACTTTAAAAATGGCACACTGTAGCAGGAAACCAGTGGTGGTGAGCACAGCTGTTACTGGTGAGCGCAAGAGTGGTGCTGCAGAGGCGTAATGCATACTTAATGAGGTGAGCAGAGCACACAGAGGCAAGTACTCCATGAAACTCTCTGAAATTGACATTTAGGCCATTTAAGGACAGTTTCAACTCCCAGTGACAGTCTTCCCAACAATCCTGCAGGATGCCACATTTCTGCAATGATAACATTTTACTCATAGTATGTTATTATTAACTATAACTTGGCATTATGCCTCTGCTAGTCTGAAGGCAATTAAGATCATAAAATAAAAAAGTCAGGTTTGGATTCTGATGTGTATCATTTCAATAATTTTTTCCAAATCTTTCAATCACTCTGTTTCTCCCACTCACTGTCAATAACTTGCCTGATGCATGCAATTTCTTTGTGAAAGCAATATTGGCAGTTGGGAAACTTAATCTATTCTCATTTTCTGTCACTCACTTGACATAGATTGCTTGATTCACAAACAAGTTACAACTATAACCAATCTCTGACTTTCCAAGAAACAGAAAATGTTGTTGACAGCAAAGTGAAATCAGCAGACTTGACTGGTGAACTGCAACTGAGAAATCCGACCCGGTGCGAAAAGGATCACTGATTCTTTCACCTCTTGGTTTTGGGCACTGCAATGGAATTGACCTTTGAGGCTAATAGTGGATTTTGTTTATTTCTTTCATTCATTTCAAAGACAAGTCTGTTTTTGCAAACATATTTTGAATTATTCATATATGATGAAAGTTGTCAATTTGACAGAATTAAACACTTTCCACATTTTATGCTAAACACAGCATCTAATACACTAAGCCCACACACTTGCAAACACAATTTTGCTCTAAAATGTCCATAAAGCATCAAAACAGGTAATCAAAATGCTCTAGGAAGCTGAGGCGGGTCATGGAAAATTAATCATAGGCCTTTGGCACCTATGTTCTTATTCAGACATTTCTAAATCATCACTGCTGCAAATTGTAATTCTGTGTGTGAAATAAAAGTGATAGTGAGTGAAAAGCATCTGTGGTTCTGGCAAGTAGGTACCCTGCTAAACTCTCTCCAACTCCTTATTTTCACATGGCATAGGTTTATGTTCAGAATGTTTTTTAAGCTGTTGGCTTTTTGGGATTGCATCAACCTTTGAGAAGTTATTGGATTGCAATCACTTTTTTTTGAGGTGAGCATTTATGTGAAGAGTAACAGATGTATTCAGTTGAGCCAGCCTCCACTGCATTGATGTCTGTAGAATGGAAATTGCTTGAAACTGCGTATTTATTTGTGCTGTTGAATTTGGGTCCAACATTTGAATAACTGGGTCATGAATTTTCTGCTACAGCTGAATACATTGATATTTCATTTTGGATCTGGACTCAACGACTAGCTATAATATCAACAGTCCAATTTTTACCATGACAGAAAGTCTCTCCTCCATGCTGAAATGCAGGAAGGCATTGAGAATCCTAAGTCCCGCTCCCAAACTCAGAATCTTCCATTTTCATATAGGCAGGATTGAGGACAATCCATAGTTCATACATGCACAGCTTCCAGAAGCAACAAACTGACCAGCTTCTACTGAATCAAATTTGGAGACCCGAGTATATGGAGCCTAAAGAGTGTGGATTAGATCAGCTAAGAGCAGGTTTATTCTCAATGCATTTCTTTTGGATAACTCGGGTATCCCTTTGAAGAGCTGAGGTACCTCTCTGGATAGGGCCCCAGAACACTTTGAGTGTGGGAGTTAGCAATCCTTTGGGAGAGGGGAGGGGGAAGGTCACATATCCATTGGGACAGAGTCTCAGGTTCTCGCCAAAGAGAAGACTGCACATAAGGTATGTATACACTCATTTTAACCAGCCACCTTGTCAAGGCCTATCAACAAAGGTTGACATGTCCAGAAGTGTCAACAAGTATCGAATTGTGCATGAATGAATGTGAGTGCTTTTCTCAACAGAGTGTAGTCTGCAATATGGAAATGTTAAGTAATGGAACGTGACTTTTTTTTCCATTGTACTTCCAATGTGCATACGGACTTGTGGATCCTAAATGACTTGGCACAGTCATTGAAAGGGGAAAGAGTTTTATGTGAAAACAGGCACCGAGTTGGTAAAGGGGTAGGAAGAGTTATGGGTGGGGCATGGAGAGTTTGTGAGGATGAGGGTGAGGGTGAGGATTAATAGTGAGTGCTGGAGAGATATTTTATATATCTCTAATTTTCATAAGCAATGTATCCTTTTGGATGTGGTCCACTTGATGAAGGTAAGGCACCCTTTGGGAGAGGTCAGGTACCCTTTGGTGGAGATGTCATAACCTTTGTGATTGTGAAAAGGCGTGCTTGTACTTACAAAATTATAAACCAATTAGGGTTAA